TTACTTAGGCATCACAATCTCTTGGCAAATTATCAGGAACCCTTAGGAATTAGACCCTCCCAAGCTGTACATATTGAATAACATACTATTGCTAGACACTACTTGCTCTATATTGATTTTCAAATGTTTCCAAATGTGAAACTTAAAAGTTTACATCTCCCATCTGTTATAAATGACAATACATGATCTCTATTTTACTCATCTATCAATGGAATATGGCATTTTAACTCTTTCCCTGTATGTTCAGATGGTCATAAATTCTTTGTAATAAAGAGTGATATTTTAAACATATAAATCTAAAATATGAGGCACCAAAAGGAAAATGTTTGCTCTCTTATTTTCTTTCCCATGCTTATTACTGAAGAGGGAAAAATTCCTAGCAACATTATTTTGTGGTGCTTCAGCAGACAACCTTGTATCAGATTGAGTAAGTGTGATATACTTACTGAATGAGATTATTCTAAAGTGAATTTGATCCAAACATGTCCACATTTTAATAGTGATAACTAAGTTATAATGGTGTTTTACTGTGTTTAGAGAATGTGAAAAACCTAGCATCAGAAGAACGATATTAATAGATGATCTTTCTTCTTCATGGAAGGCTATAGCCATAAGATTCAACACACTGGAAAGAGTGCCAGCAGTTATTAGTTCTGATTATTTTAGTTTTTACTATTATCTCTTACCACTGACCATTGCATTTTTGTTGCTTGTGAATATTTTCATAAACTACCGAGTTTTCTACTGCTTGTTGTCTATGTAGGCCTAAGTAAATGGAGTCTATATGACTTTGTGTTATAACTTACAGTTAAAACAAAACAACTCCAGCTCTTTGAAGAAGAATCTTATTATGAAATCAAGATTTTAGAGTCAAATTTTGTTTTTAAATAAAAAGTCATGTTGTAAGCCCTGATTTATTTCCCTCCCTCCCTTCCTTCCTTCTTTTTCAGAGATGTGTTTGTGTTTAAGGGGGAGAGGAAGAGGAAGAGCAAAAATAAAACAATAAAAAATTGAATAAAATATTCGATGGTTAGCAAAGATTCAAAGTAGAATAATATAAAACCTATTGATTGGTTGAAGAAATGAGGATATTTTAAAATATAACAGTTAATCTGTCAAAATATGTAACCAACATAAGTTTGCCAATATAGGCCTCTGATGGGCAAATATTAAATCTTCAATAAATACTTGTTGGGGCTGGGGTTGTGGCTCAGTGGTAAAGTGCTTACCTAGCAGAGGCCCTGGATTTGATCTTCAACATCACATAAAAATAATAAAATAATAAAGATATTGTGTCTATCTACAACAAAAAAATTAAAAATAAATACTTGTTTAATGTAGCTTTGTCCATTTAGAAAAGTATTATTTCCACAAAAGTTTACTGTCATATGTGTCAATAGGTATATATCTTGGGTGAAGGAAACATATCTCATAAATAGTTGTCTTGTTTGTGGAAAATATTTGACCAGGTTTCTTAATTTAGAATAGTTTCTTTTCCATTTTTTTTAAATGAAGGCCTCTATGTGCTGCTTTACTTTAAAAATGGCAAAAATGAACTCTAGTTTAAAAATCACTACATGTCCCTTTAACAATTCTCCTGGGAACTGATACTTCTGAGTTGCTTTCTTATTCCCATCTTCTAAATGTATTCCCTAAGGAGATTAGACAGTTGAAGCTTTCTGTCCATTTGTCTTTAAATTTGGCTTTCATTTGTATAACATAACAATTGAGAATTAGCCAAAAATTACACATCATAAATTTATTCTAAGCAAAACAATGTTTTGCATGAATTAAATATTTTAACTTCATCTAGAAATGATGAAATATAAAAATCTCCAGCAATACTTTACTCATTTACATTCTAATTAAAACATTTTCTCTTAAATGGATCGTAGGTATTGATTTGTGACTTCTTGCTCATTTATAGCTCATAATACAACAATATTTTTTTTAAATCATCAATCTTTATCATTTGTAAACATTTTATTTTGAATGGCCAATCTTGGTGTTTTAGCGAAATTTTATTAACATTAATGGAATATGATTTTCATGGATTTTCCCAAAATAACTGAACTGAGCTAAAAAAAAAAAAAGGCACTGTAGAAGGCTAAATTAATCCAATAGAAACATAATGCTATGTTGTGGGAATGGCGTTGTTTTAGCTATCATACATAAGAAATAAAAACCACATTCTGAATATTCCCATTAGAAAGATTTAGATTTATAAAAAGTAATTAATAGCAAACCTCACTACAGAATATTAAACAATGATTTAGGCTTACAGTTGAGAACCATCTCTTTCAATAAGAATTGTAGAAGCAATATCTTTGTTCTATGGCTTCAGATATTGAAGAATACAGTGCTTCATCAGAGTGATCCAAAGAAATTGAGATTTGGCTCAAAGGCCAAAAATGTTAATAATAAAGCCTGACTTACCTTCCACAGAAGTTTATTACATTCTTTTATTCTTAAGCCCTTTCTTCTAAAGATTTGAAATTGGAAATGGTGTACCATAGTAGGAAGTCTGGAGTCATTAATGAAATAATTGACAGAATATATTATAATGATATTTTTATGTACTGAGCCAATTATAATACCAACATATCAAGTAGACAATAATAGGCGTCTAATTTTCTTCTTCTTAATACTCATGCTGGGGAAGAAAATCTGCCTTTGAATCATTAAAAATTGAAAAAAATGATAGATTTGATTATTTGGTTGTCTAATTTTGGAGTGGAAAGCCACCTTCAGTCATATACAATGTCCTTTCCCAGCTCCAGCACTCAATCCCATTACATCCCACTTCATCCCTCTTTGGTGCAGCTCCTGCTGACACACTCCCTCTGCCCAGCACAAAACAAACTAAGTTAAGTCGCACCAGGGTGCCTTTTGTGAGGCCACTCAGAGTAGGAAGAAAGAAACAAAGAGCAAGATAGAGATGCAGAGGATATAAAGAAAACAAATAAGGCATGACAAAAGGATGGATAAAGGGGAAGGGGAAAAAAAATCCTGGGGCCATGATCATAAAATCACAAATGCTTTTAAAATTTGGCCAGTAACAATACTCATCACGGTCATCATCATCATCATCATCATCATCACCATCCTTCATTTTGACAGGTTGCTTTCGGAGAGCTGAAAATTACTTTCGAATTAATAAGGGACAGTATTTTTTTATAAGCTCTTTCTAGAACAAGGGAGGGGCTAATTAAAATATTAGCTAATTAAAGTCACCCCGATAATTACTGATTTTTCGAACTGTCAGGATGGTCATTTTTTTTTTTCTCGCCACGTATTGTATAATCTGTGCTTCATGTCAAAAGCGTTCTCATATACTGTTGGATTTCTACCCTTTGACCACCTGCTCCCTCCTGGAACGGGACCTGTACTGGGCAGGAGAGGTCTAAGGAAGACCCCTCTGTTCTTTCCAGAAGGCCTGCGCACGCCCTGCCATCGCTTCTCCGGAGGGTGGAGGTAAAACCAGCCGGCATTGCTACTCTCTAGCACTCTCCCCTCCCTTAATTCCTCCTCCACATTTCAGGCGCTTTTCGCAGAGTGCCACCTGTTCCTGAGGCTTACCCTTTCTCTGCCTTCACATTGACACGGTGACTATACTCTGCGACAACCTAGACAGGCAAGGCAGCACAGGGGCTGTGACAGCCCAGTGGGACTCTTTTGGAGGCAGTTTCATTAGGACCCTACCAAGCCCTTCTCACAGCACTGTCCACTCTAGATGAAGAATCCGACCCTCCACAGCTCTGTCCTACAGAACGGCAGGACTGTGTGTGTGTGTGTGGGGGGGGGGGGGGGGGCGGCCGCATCACTCTTTTTTTATCGCCCAAGCCCGGTCCCCCCCAGGCAA